ATTCATTAACGCATGACTTTGGATCACGTTTCGAGTAACCCTTTTTTTACCTTCCTTTTATTAGCTCGGGATGTAACTATGTAATATTGATGCGCCTAAAAGATGCAGCGATTTCTATTCTCAAGTTACATACCTGATGACAGTACGAAAGGCAATTATAATAGGGAGGTTTTAGTTTTTTAAACTATAATTTTATTTGGAAACTAATTTGGTTTAGTTCCGATCATTATGTCATGAAGAAATTGACGGTAATCCAAAATTTGTATACGAGCAATATAATCGGATGCATTTCGTTACTTAAAAATTACTTGCTAGATTCTTGAGCCAATGAAAAAGCATACCAATGACCAATTTTTGTGGCTAAAATTGATTAGGGCGAAACGAGTAGATTATTTAAAAAAACATGATACTTTTTCTGGTTGGAATATCGCTAGCTTAGAGTGAAAACTCATATTTTGATATAGAAGGCAAGGAATATTAAGAACGTATCGCTTCGAAAAGGATTAAGATACTTGTTTTATTTTTTCTCGTTTATATTCAATGAAAGACAAAATCCGACAAAACCAAGATAATACGAAATCTTTTAATATAGATCGAATCTTTCTTATTCGCATGGAGTTTTGCTTTGCTTTAAATACGCAAAATGTTGCATTCAAAGAAGTTTTTTCCTCTTCTGTAAAGTTAAAAAAAATGGCTTAGCAACTTTGCACTCGTAAGCTAGCGATATGATTTCCCATATTTTTTCAAACAAGCAAAAATCTTAACCCTTGAAGACCGAGTGGGTTCACTTCTTAATTTGTGATTTTGTTGAAAAAGTTTGAAGGCATGTTTTGAATTGTTGTTTTTAAAAAAACGTGGCTATTTTTGAAAAAAATTTGGTTAATTATAATAATTGCAAGTGAAAACCTGAATTTGTCTGCTGGAAAGCTAATTAAAAGGAGCAGCCTTTTGTATAACAAAATTGTAAACAGTCTTATGCTTCCTGTCTTTACTGAGTCCTCTTTTCCAAATGGTAAATAGTTCACTACTGACAGGTTCAATAATATTTACAAAAAAATCCATTTTCTTAGAAATCGAATATGAAATTGACGAATTAAACTGAAAACTCTTCATATTTGCCAATGTTATTGTTACTTATTAATATTTAATTTTAATATTTTTAATGAGCTTTGTACAACGATTATTTTATTAGGAAAAATGGAAAAAGCAACAAATAAAATAATCGTGGTATCTTCATTTTATACATTTTTGGTAGTCCAAACATGGTCAACATTTTAAAGGCTTTTTCAAATTTCATTAAACAAAATTTAATTAAAGCTCATGTCAGAAGTACCCAGCCAGCAAAATCATCGTAAAAATAACCGTTAGCAAAGAGAAGGGCAGCTGATATAAAGCGATTAACATGCAAATTTTTTGGGGTAAAAAAAGAGTATTATCAGCGAAGCCTAAAGAGCAATGGGACCAAAAGTAATGAGTTAACCTCCATGCGCTCGGGACTGAAAACTTGCGTAGATGGTCGGAAGTTTACATTTGTAAAAATCTTGAATTTGTAGGGAGGATCACTTAAACATGAGAAACAAAACGCATGTTTCGACACCCAAAAATTAAAAAAACCTTTGGTGAGTAAAAAAAGTGAGATGAATTTTTATACATATTATCTACACAGTGCTAAAATATTAAAAAAAATTCAAACCACATGAAACAATATACTCACGAAACTAGGGGCCAAATAAAGTAAAATTGCGTTTTTAGTTTTTCCCTCTGACGACAGTGTCCTTTTTAAAGGACTTTGAATCTTCAAGAATATCAAAAATTAAAAAAAAATATTAAAAAATTTCAATGCGATGTAGAATAATTTTGCAAAAATGCTCCAAATGTAGACTACCGAGCACATGAAGGTTAAGGAAAAGGTTTTTTTCGTTTTTAACTACTACATAAACCTATTTAAAGTCCGATACTTCAGCAATGATACCGTAATATTACATATAACGCGATTGAAAGTTTAGAGATCATTGGTTTATTTGTTTAAAAGTTATTGCGCTTTAAAAGTGGAGATTGGAGGAAAGTCAACGACAAAATTGTTTTACTTTTTTTCGTAACGAAAATATGAACCACATCTCAGAGTGGGCCGAAACGATAATCTAGAGGGACCAAATCATTTAACGAATTCAGTTTGCATGAATGTTTATAAAACTTAGTATTTAGGTATATTTTGAGTCTCCTATTACAAAACTTATATATGTAATATGTTTAAAATTAAAAATGTCGGATCCAATATAGCTGACACTTTAAATTTAGCGCTCAGTAGACAGGAGTCTAAACCAGCATGCCCCCATAGTTAAACTCTTGTGAAATTAAATTTTTTTTGTGGAACCAATTTCAAATTTGTATAGAAAAATATTATTTTTAGTTTATTTATATTTTCAGGCGATATGAATTTCCATAACCCAATTCTTAGTTGAACTTTTGCTAGTGGTTAAGGTAACAACGGTTTAACTAAGCACTGCGAATTCGGTTCTAAATGAAATAGTGCCTTCCGCAAAATAGAAAATGTCAACAAAAAACTCGAACCTTTATATGGGGGCGGACGTAGGCGGACTTAAAGTTTATAAAACAATAAAGTGTGAGAACACAGCAGTCTAAAAACTCAATTACTTTATTCGCCACTTATAGGAAAAAAATAGTAGCACTTTACAAAAACTATTTTCTAATCCAAAATTTCATGCATTCAAAAAGTTGAAATCAAGGCGAACTCATGAAGGTTTCATTTTTCCTTTTAAAAATAATGATTAATTATAAAATTGAAACGCTATACAGACGCAGCTTACTGAAATTTTGACCTGAAAATTTTGGAACTTATTCCTTTAATTAAGGTGTCGCTACCTCTGAAAAGGTATAGCTTTTGAGTTTTTTTAATGATCATTATTCTTGAGCGAAAAAAATAAAAATCATAAAATAATCATTATTTATGATTCGAAAAAATAAAAATCATGTAATAATAATTACCTTTGAGCCAAAAATTAAAACACAAATATTAATTATTATTTTTAATCTTTATTGGTTAAAATCGAAAAATAAAAATCATAGTAAATTACAGTAGGACGTACGAAAACAAATACGTGGGTATAGATAAAATTGTTTTACGACGATTACAACTTGTTGATTTTTTGGTTAAAATTTAAAAAATAATGATTATTTTCCGTCCCTGCTTGATTTACGTCAGCAGCAAGCAAATAGAACTTGAACTAACTATAGATGCATATATGTTTTTTTTTTTTAACAAAAGAAAAGTGGATTCTTTTGTATCAGCTAATGTGTTACAGAATCGAAAGCAAAATATCTTGAACTTGACACTTCACCAAAATCACAAAGGTCCCTCCAGATTACCGTTTTAGACCTCTGTGCGTCTGGAAACATTTAAAGTTTAAACAAAGCAGGATATGAAAAAAGCTCGATATTTGTCTTCTACGTGTATTAGCACTGAACAATTTTACGTCCGAGATAATGTAAAGCTGGTTGCAGAAGAATCTTATGAAAACCACTTAGTACCGTTTTCGCCCAGAAAATATGGTTTTAAAAGACAAAAAGGTCATCGATTAAGACAGCACATATCGCACACCTGGATCTAAAGTGCGATTAATTAAAAAAATATTTTGGGCGATTTTTTGTATAAATCAATTCATAGGACTCACATCCAATTAATGAAAATGTATTTTTCTTCATGATTATACACATTAACTAAAAAACTACTCTTATACCTGTTTTTGTATTAATTGCGTTAAATCTGTACGATCCACAAGCAGTTTAAATTTCCCTCTCTGAATTTTGAGTTAGCTCACTTTAGATCTAGGTGTGCGATATGTAAACACGTATGTACATGCATATAGTATCATTGATTACTGTATGAATCTTTATGAATAAATTCGCCACAAAAAGAATAAAGACGATTCGAGTCAACAAATGGTTTTTTGAAGGAATGAAGCGTTGGATACCATTCATCTGGGGTTAGTTATTATACATAACTGTTAATATGATGCAATCTCGTGTAAAATTGGTAATTCGAATGTAAATTGCCATGCAAATATATGGCAGTAAAACATTTTTCTCTAGTAGGGTTTTTTTGCAAATTATTAAATTTTTCCGCAAAATTTAGGTCTAGTATACATACATATGTAGATATGTACATAGGCACCCAATATTACTTTACATAAATACATCTCATTTAATATTCCATAGTAAATTTTTAATCAGTAACACAGCTCAAACATATCATTGTCCACAATATTCAAATATAGGATAAACTCATTGATTCGGATCGTTGGGCCCGTCTAATTGCTCGCCGCAGCTATCGCCTGGCTGACCTACGTCGCGAATTTCGCGGCTGGTACGGCAATCACGAACGACACTGCCTTCTGCACAGCATCCTCACACCGCTTCGCATTAAATAGGATATGTAAGCGATGAAGAGCGAAACTTAGAATACCCTACTAGAAGTAACTGGTGCTCAAACTCTTTGAGGGAGTCGGAGAATGGGAAATAAATTGGAGCTTTGACTTAGCAACACCAAAACTTGTTTAAAAACCATAGCAGGAAGTCGGTTGTAATTCCGGTGCTGTCTCTAACTACGATATTTAAAAAAAAAAACCTATTTATAATAATAAAACGCACAAAAAAATACAAGAACACTTGTACCGAACGCAACTACTTGTTAAATAAATGTATTTAGTTATTTGAGCGAATTTTATTGCTTTGAACGATTATTTTTGAATTTTGTTATGTTGTACATATGTATTTACCAAAACCAACTGCTTAATCACAAGCACAAATGGAACAATAATAAATATGTATAAATTATGTAAATTCATATGCTGATCTTTATTATGTACATGCGTATGTAAAATAAAAATGTGTAATAAATTTCAAACTGTTTTATTGCTTACCTTATTCTTGGTTGTATTTTTACTTAACTATTTATTGTATTTGGACATTTCATTTTTTAGCTAAAATCACGAATTGTTCACTTGGAGCGCTTACTGGATGATGAACGTAAGAAATCAGAGGACTTGCAATTTTCTATCGATGAGGCCACATACTGTGGCAACGATGTAAGGATGCATAATTTGTTACATACCTTTTTCGTATACAAGAGTACCAAAAGTTCACAGGCATATGTTTAGAAGAATGCATGGATCCCACGATATGTATATTTGTACATTTTGACAGAGTGGTGTTGTCTAGAAATTTTTATCGAGTTATGAGTTCAGCTCAATAAAAAATTCCAAAGCAACCCCAATCTCCAAATACATGTCAAAATGTACAAATGTCCAATCACTGCTTAAGAGTAGAATTTCACAGCAAAGCCCCTTATGATATATGTACATATATACATACGGTGTTCGCCCAAATACACTCCGTATTAATATTTACTATTTCCACTAACTATCTTACCGCTATTGAGAGCCTTGTGAAATAATCCTTACAGAAAAACGAATTACATTTTATATATGTATGCAGTCTTATGCATCAAGTAGTGCATTTTGTCATTTGCTGTAGGGTACAGATAATGTAGGACAAGAAAAGTCAATAGGTCAAATATAGTTCGTTATATTTAGGGTTAAAGCGTTTCTAAGACTTCCAATGATTTTGAAAAGTTACGGCTTTGAGTCACATACATATCAGCCCCTTAATAAATCCTCCAAAGGACTTTGGTGGGCGAATTCCTTGCTATTATGAATTGTTTTTCACAATTACGATTGCCAGACGTACTGATTTGGGAAGGACGGTACTGAATTTTCATGCCCCGTACTGAAAATTTTCAATTCCTAATTCAGTGCGCAAATGTCCTTGTGAAATGTGTGCTGAAAGAATTTAGTTTGGGGAAGGGGAATCGACTCCAATGTCAAATAAAGTTAAATTAAAGCCTAAATTAGTGGTGCCATATCATAGCTATAACCGTAACCATAGCAATGGAATGTTCCGATAAAACGTTCGCGCAGCTCTGCAAAAGATTATTGGTGCTATACTATAACGCCAGAGCCATAGCCATAATCGTAGGTAATCTATTTAGTTTTAGCTTTTCGCCATACCATAAGCAGCTGTGAAGTATTTTACTACGTTATGGCTAAGGCGTTATGGTTATAGCACCTCTAATTTGGCCTTAAAAAGACGTCGTATGCGCTTCACCGATTACTTACCCCTCGAAGTTCAAGCACAAGCATCCAACCGGTAATATAAAAATTATATAATCATTTTGAAAACAAGAAGATAAAAAATTGTACATTAGTAAAGTCAACTCTTTGATGCGAAAATGCGAAAACCAAAAATAAGCGTTTGTTTTGTTGCTTTGCTGTGCGTTTGTGCGAAACGGCGCCATATGTTTGCTGTAAAAAAACCGATTTTTGCACTTTCGCTCAAACGCACACAGTTTCGCATCAAAGAGTGAACTGTAGTGTTGTGTTTATTAAAGCTATGGACAACATTTTTCGTTGAAGGGTTGCATTATTTTACCAAAGTTTTTAGAACTTCGATTTTACTAATTTAAATTGCAAACTCAATGTTGTGCCTTGTTGTTGTCACAAATCTTTGTGTTATTATTTCAGTGTCAATTTTAATATCTAATGGCGTTTTCTTTTCTCGAAAAAAATGTCACCTTCTTATGTGGCAACATTATCAGAGTCCAACATTTTAAAGAAAGAGCACGCAATATGCATGTAAAGATACTGATAAAAGAACACGAAGACTTGACAGTTCTGGCGCAGGGTAGTATAAATGCAAAATTATTTCGAGAGTAGAAAACGCTTAAGAAGTGTATGAGTAAAAGTGCTACACCTGTCAGCCTGGTACTATAAAGCAAAATGTTTAACCGGCCAAGGCTTAAATAACTTCTTTCTAAAGTAGCGTTACTACGAGTAGCTTAAATTTTGGCCAGAATGTAGAAAAGTGGGTCCAAATGAAAGTAAGAAAGTGAATTTTTAAAAAATAATGGCGGCCAACAATCAGTCAAAATTGAACAAAAATGCAACAAATAATAGAAAAAATACATATTTGTAGTAACATGTATAAAAGAGTGTGATTTTATTGTATATTATATATAAATGTTATATATTTAATTTACGAATCGATTCGAAGCGTAAAACAAATAGCCCTATTATGGACACTGAGAAAAAACTGAGCCAAAAATTGGTCAATGCAATCAAATTCAAACTTGAAATTGAATCAAGATGATTCTTGTTTCATATTAACAATGCCATGGTTGATATTTTCAACAATAATTTGGTAATATAACATTTGTTTACATTAAACAAATTATTGGTTGCCGATTTTTTCATTTGAATACGCTTATGTTCTGTACTTCACACATGCTTTTTCATAATTCGGTGATACAAGACAAAAATTTTGTGATGGGATTTGAACCAGCATCATCTGAAAGATAGCAAATAACATCAAGCGTCTCTACACACTACAGCTGTTCTGTAAACTTGCCCTAAAATGTTGAACTTGAATAAATTTTCTTCGTCATTTGATCGTGTCTGCTTTTTTGTAATTATGTAATTTTTTGTACAGTATTTAAAAAATAATAATTCTAGTCGAACAAAGTACAAGCTTCAAATGGCTAAAAATTACGGTTAATTTTTTAGATTTTTTGTTTTACCCATTTGCTTCCATATAACATTCAACAAATGTCCATGTCGTTGTAAAGATCATGGAGCTCAGTGTTCCATCGTCACCAACGCGTAAAGGCCCGTAAATCTTTATCTTGAATACTCCAAGGGCCGCCTCATCGAATGTTGCCATCGTCCATGCTTCTGCGCAATATACCACCACAGGCATGTAATTAATGTTTTAAAAAGATACAATTAAAAAAGAAATTCTATGTTTTCCCATTTAATTCAAATCTAGCGTAAATATTGGGACACCCTTTATATACAGATTTCGTCTATAGATGCTTTAAAACTAATTGATTTCTGTCTGGCCGAGGTCGGCCAATCAAAAATAATGTGTTCTGAAGTCTCATCAGTTAGACCCCATATGGTAACGTGATAACTGCTTATTTTATTGGATTAATATCCTTCCTATCGAAATAATAACCGAGGAGCTTGGCTTATAAAAGTTGAAGCGTGTCAAGGCTTAGATTTGGTTATGTCTTGATCATTTTATTGGAGAGGGCCCGGATGGCCGCTTGGCAGTCTGGAAATATAACTAAACACGCGCACTTTCATCCTTTTACAAGGTATAATGTGGTTCCAATAATGAATCATCCGTGCATCACGGACAGCGAGCGCCTTTGTCCAGTCTTCATGATCTGTAATTTTTTCGCAGGTATCATATATGAAACTTCTTTGAATGAAAGCTGTCTTTAGAGTGATGGAGATACATACCAACTTTTGAAGCATATCTTTTCGTAATGTTTTCTGCAACAATACCACAGGGTGTGCGGATTTTCCTGTCGGATCTGACTCTGTAACATTCTATTAACATTTTCCCGCCAAAATCAAAATCGGCGAACGGGGCCGCCCTGTAAAAAGATCGCGTTTTTTGCAATATTTTAGAAGCTCTAGCAAAGAATGAAAAGGTGATAGAACCTTCCATTTAGGCTTAAATTAAAGCTAAAGCTCTCGACTAATGTCTGTGAAAATACTATCCCGGCACCTCGACCTTATGGTCACTTATAGTCATTTATTGGACAATAAAAAAAATACTGGAAAATCGTGCTAATGAAAAACAAATTTTGCCAAAATTTTCTGTACAATAAATTACTACAAGTGACTTAGGGTCAAGGTGCAGGGATGGTATTCTTAGAGATTGTAGCCGAAAGTTCAAGCCTTAATATAAGCCTAGGTGGAAGGTTCTATCATCTTTTGTTTAATTGCGGCAGGTACTCAAACTTCGCCAAAATCAGTTTTTGCTATTCAATAAATGACTATAAGTGGCCATCAATTCAAGGTGCAGGCATGGAATTTTCAATCGTAGTAGTCGAGAGTCCTAGCTTTAAGTAAGTGGAAGCTTATATCACCTTTCATTTCTTTGCTAGAGCTTCTCAAATATTGCAAAAAACCGATTTTTTACACTTTGACCTGATTTTTCTCAAAATCTGGAGCTGATGGAAACTTTAAACTTACGGCACAAAAAAGTCTATCAAAGACAGCTTTAAATTTTTTCTGTTTCTACTTTCGCGTATTAGCTAAAGACTTTTATTTTAGAAATATTTAAATGATGGAATAAGTCACCGATACTAAATATCAGTTTTTCTCGCAAAAGGCCCGTCGCCGATTTTGATTTTGGCGGGAAAATATTCCTAACATACCACAGAGTCACATCCGACAGGAAAATCCGGGGTTAGAAAACTTTTGAATGAAACTTGGTTAAAGCACACCGTGCCATCGATGCATTCGACTCAGTCGTACGGTATAACACACGGTAAAGCGCGGTAACTTTGAGTTCGATTCCCAAATGTCACCAATTAGTCTTGTGCGGGCCCACATGAACCGTGTGGCTTCACCAAGACTTTAATCAAGATGGAAGTTCCAACTAAGTTTCTTATCTACGTACACTAAGAAAAAATAATAATAATAATGTATCTTTCAAACTGAAACAGGTTTTTGTTTGGGGATTTATTCATTTGAATACGCTTTGGTTCTGCATTTCACAGATGATTCAGTATTATAAAAAAAAAAAACTTTTTATTATCATTTTAATATGTTTTGTCAGGCAGCAATTGAACCCAAAACCTTCTGGAACATAAGGAGTAATAGCAATCACCTCTGCACAGCCAGCTACAGCCAAAGTATGTAAACGTGTTTTCAAATGTTGCGTTTGAATAACATTTCTTACAATCATTTTAACAAACTTGATTTCAAATTGACATAAATACATAGTCACTCTGCACTATATATTTCATTTGCTTTACCAGTAAAATTTAACTGATGATTAACCCCTCTATTCTAACAGACTCACAAAACTTAGCTCATCACTGTTGTGATTTCAAGTGCGCCGAGAAATGTGTCACAAAAAATTCGATTTTGAGTGCTAGAAAAATACACAAAAATTTAAAAAATTGAATTGTGGCGGCATATTTTTGCAGCGGCAAACTTTGAGGCGCAGTAGA